TTTCACAGTAGCTCGAGTTCGGATTCCTTGTAAAATCATGTCATGTGCAAGGACACTTTTAAACACGCCCGTGAGGGCACAAGGTGCATTATTGTCTTCCAATATGCCTGCAGCACACACACACAAAATAATTAAAAATAGCTTTGTTCCCCACTGACCAGGTTAGCATAATTCAGGAAATTCAGGAATGAAACATTGCCTTAAAAGGTGATTTTGAAAGGAAACACATTGAAAATGTTTGTATCAGACTAATTGTTCATAAAGGTGTTTTCTAGGCACATGAGTAACCTCAGCCCCAGTACCTTCACCACACTCAAAACAGATTAATCTGAGAAAAAAGCTGTTAGAAAAGTGGTAGGATGCAATGGAATAACCAGTAGCTAAAAGTCAGAAAACCTGGATTTAAGGTTTCACTGGTGGTTAATTAACCCTTTCTTGTCATTTGTTCAGCTCATGGTTCTTCATACACAAGACTGGTCACAGTAGTATTTGCTTCGTTGGAAAATTGTTTTGAGAACCACTGATAAAAAGCTCTAAGTAACCAGGCACTACTACGAGGTGTAAGAGTTTACTCAGGCTAACAGCGCATCCATAGCTCTTTACACACATCAAGGTCTCAAGCCATTTTTTTCTGACTTTGCGCAACCCACGTCTTGGCGACGCACAGAGGCGCGCTCGCGCACATCGTTCGATGCAGGTTCCGCACCTTGATGCTATCCTGGTCAACAGATGAGAGAACGGACATACTGCAATTGATGTGCCTTCTGGAAACTGCCATGTCATTAGTCTGATGACCAAAATGTTACAGGTTTTCAATTTTCCCCTCTGCCAGATGCTCATGAATTCAACAAAATTCAAACATACCACAGACACAAAATAGGTATGGCTGAACGTTTATTTTGGTGGCTTTCAGATCCGACATATACTTGGGATTGGGTTTTCCAGAGTTTGGCTTTGTGGTTCTGAGGGTCACGTTTCCTGCACAATACACGATTAAAAACACATGTTCACAAAACCAGAGCAAGGTACAGGACACAAGATCTGATGAGCCCACTGCAGTGACACCATACCAGAAGGTGAAGGGAGCCACCTGAGCAGTCAGGAGCACACCTTGGGCAGAGGATGCTCAGATCTCTCCGAGACTATTCCCCATCCCATGGGAACAGGCAGTAGCAAACTTCCACACAATGAAATTGATCCCCAGCCTTATCTGACTAGCTGTCACCAAAATCTCACACCTCCACACAGTTTGCCTCTAGCCCAGCTGATTGGTTTGCAGCTACCAGGCCACATCTTACGTGGCGTGGAGGGTAAGCATCCACAGAGCCAAGGCAAGATCTGCAACCTCACCCATCCCTGGGCCTCCACAGATTTGCAGCTGACTTGAGTCCTGAATTAGAAATACATTTGGATTGCTAAAGGGATGGTGCAGAAGACAACTGGGCCTGCAATTCTTAGGTCAAAGAGCTGGTTTTGCCTTACACTATTAAAACAGAGAAATCTATGTTTGCTGAAATTGTTTTCTTGACATACGTGGCTAAAATTGAGAATGTTCTCAGCTTTATCCTCTCCAGGTTCCTGATCAGACTTCTGGAGTGGTGAAGGAACTGTCACACAAAGGACCTTTCCCGCTGTGTTTCACCAGATATAACTGGACACAAAGCGAGTGCTTCGGAAGCACCGTGTCCACAGCCACGCTGGCTGGGTGACTAAGCCCAGCAGCTGCTTTATTCATCACCTAACTGGCACGACCGTGCACGCTCCTGCAGCACCTGCATACTGCCCTGTATAAACAGAGATGCAGCGAGGCTCAGCATTTGGAATTAAGATGCTCCTGGTTCCCTGGGAAACAGCATTTCCCAAGAAGCAGAATATAAACATTATCAGGATTTTTCTCACTCTGGGCAGTGAAAATCTACTAATCACTTTCATCTTCCATTACAGATCCTTTCCCACAAGTTTCAAGAGCCTCCAGCTTCCCGTGCATCACGATGTATTTCTGAGCAGCACTGCAAGAACAAATCATTTAAAATCTAACAAAATTATGGGAGTATTAAAGGCATTTAATTAAAAACGTTAAATTTGAGAGCATCTGCATCTGAGAGTCTGCATCTTTGCAAACACTGGCTTGTAACAAGGAGAATGAACACCCAAAAATCTCACAGCAGGTTTAAGTGACATGTAGGATTGATATCTAACATCAGTTACCTGAAAAACACATCTCCCAAGTGCACCTACCAAACACAAAGCAGACGGAGACAAGGTTTGCAACATTTAAACGGCAGATCTTTTGATATCGATAAGTTCAACAGATGTTTTGCTCTCAAAACAAACAAATTATTTCTCTATCAAACATTCTTCACTAATGCTTCAAATCTCCATTTTCCAAACTGACACCAGAATCAACTCTGTCGATTTTGTTCATTGAAAAATAATGTAATAAAATAAAAACACCATCAAGCAACAGAGGTGGAATAAAAGATGTTGCCCAGGAAACTGACTCTTCGCTTCAGCACCCGGAGCACACATATCCCGGTGGCAGTCAATAAGCGCTGCCTTCTCATTTAACTACAACGGACTTTGTTTCATCTGGATTGGTGCAGAGTTATCAGGAAAGAGGGTCAAGCAACCCCCTTTGTGCTACATCTCTTTTTGGACTTCCCCAAGTACCTTTTCAGTATTCCACGGGTCTGCAACTGGATGCACTTGCAGTAGCATGATCAATACAAGGAGTTAGCACTATCCAACTCATTCTTGACAAAACCAGGATGATGGAGTGACTTGAGAGGATAAAACTCTGAGATGCAAGCTTCCAGGATAGTCAGATCAGTCACTTCCACGCTGTCAAGGCAACCCAGCAGTTCATATTTGTCACCCTAAATACATTTTGGTACATTCTAAAAGGCACAGAAATCTTTCCATTTTAGTACTTTTACAAAGAAGGTAAAATGTGCAAATAACATTGCCTTAATACTGAAATTCTTTTAATACGCTCAGGAGGCTTTTTTGTCCTCCTAGCTCTCCAAAATATTTGCCCATGCTACAGTTGCAAGTGGTCAAAATGTAGCATTCCGCACTATTGACTGGAGTATAGATCAGGTGTCAAATTCCAGCAGCAAGGAATAAATCAAGGAGTTCTTAGCACCTGTACGTGGAGGAGACACAGGTTCTGGTGTCTTCTGCTGTTTAGTTAAGACGGCAGAGCCTTTGGTCGTGGTGGTTGGAGAGCTGGTTAGGAAAAGAAACATTGTTGGAACACTTTGCTTTCATGTTTTCTTTATGGAACTAATGATATTGCAAAACCTTAAAATTCAAAATTTAACTTCAGGCTACAAAAATCCTAAAACAGATGAAAGCAAGATGAATGACTGTAACAAAGTCGCTTCATTCAGAACGCTACTAAAACATTGATATTTGAGCATCTAGATTCTGCCTGGTCCCCCAGTTTCAGTGCAAGTCAGGTGCCCAATAAGGAGCGAAGCGCTCAACGACTTTGAAGGATCCAAGCCAATTTACAGATTCTACCTCACCGCATTCATACGCTTCTGCCTGATGTACTCAGCTGCCTTCAGGGAAACGTTCTTTGTCTCTCTCATTAGCAAACAGTATTTTTAGAGACCCATCTTAATGCCATCGGTAGTGCTTTCACACCACAAAAGTCAGAAGATGGATTTTTAACATCATTGTGAAACAAAAATAGACTCAGAAGCCAAGAAAGGATGTGGATCCCCAATCAATGCTCTTCTCCAGGCTTATCTGAACCTCACATAAATGTGAGCTACCTAGCGAGGACTGAAGAAACACGTACTTGCTGAAGTATACAGGTGAAAAACTGCTGGCTCCTTCTCCCCAAATGTGTGCAGAAACAATGCAAATATGCCAGAAGTTTTATAGTTCAACTGGCAGGTTGAACTAAGACTATTTGTATTCACAGCTTCGCGTAACTGTTCGTCTTTTAAGACAGCCTCGCTCAAGATAGCAGCCTTCCCTTTCACAATCAATAAATTTGCACACATTTTCATGCTCTGTAGCAAATGCTCATGGATGGATCTCAAATCACAATCCTTTTTGTGCATCTTGCAGAATTAGAACTATTAAAAAAAAAGATTTAAAAAAGCACTAAATGCACACAGACCAGTATCGTTAGTGAATCTTTTTTTAAGATGACTTAAGCAGATATCTTTCCTCCCACCACGTTATAGTTGTGTAATTAATTTCCTCTGAAGCAGATTACTGCTATTACCAGTACATCCCTCTGTCTTTCAGTCCCACTGTCCAAGGCCTCATCTAGGCTAATCCTTCCTTTTTCCCAGTTTGCTCAGTGTCTTTCCCTTATGATACTGTCTCAAAATACCATCAGATGTGACCAGATTTCAAAAGAAGAAATAGCCCCAGGAGGGGAAAGAGAAGGGTTCATTTTTCTCCTCGTTTACTTAAATACGCTTTTAGATTTCTTGATTGTGAATGCCCCAAAGTTTATAGAAGACTCAAATTCGTGTGTATAAGGGAACCAAAGAACATTACTAAAACCCTTTGCAGTACTTGAAGTTTGCACGAGTGGTGAAGACCGTATTATGAAGTCCTCGAGGAGTATTACAAGCCACAGCTGGAGAACAAGCCTGTGGAAAAATCACATCCACATAAAAAGGAACAATGACCAAAAGAACCACCTTACAGAAATTAGGAACGGCCACACCAGATCATACCAATGCAATTAGTATTTTATCTTCCTGCTGCAAAAAGGGACCAAGAGCAGCTGTTTTAGATAGTCACGCAAAAACCTTTGCCATTAACAGCAATGGAACAACACACCAGAGTGAAAGTCACCCTCGGTTTCTATTACTGAGATCAAATGAACCAGATCTCTTCTCCCAAACACCAAGGATCCCCATATTATCCAAAGGAACATATGATACTTCTCAGGACTTTAAGCGTCATGGGCTCTGTGCCATTTTGCAGCGATGAGGGTCTGCCTAAATCTGGTCATGGGGCTTCAGAGTTTAGTTACAACCGAGCATCTCATTAAAATACTTCTCCAAATCCCATAGCACGGTGCTCCATCCCTTTTGCTTCACTAAGGCCACGTCTATCTTCAGACGGACACCAACACTGATGGTTACACAGTGAACTCGCCTACAGATTGAAGAACAAGGTTGTGATAAATCAGATCACACCACAAGCACTGTATAATTTGGTTTTAATCTTGTCACGAGTATGGATGTGGTATATAAAAATGTATGCTTTCCTGCATTAAGCGAAATTCAAAGCTCTGTGTTTCAGTCCTAGACAATCCTCTTAACAGAGCCCATCCTTTAACTATTCAAGAAGCACATGCAGAGAAGATTTATATCAAGATCATGACTTGAAGATAATTCTCAATGCTCTCTCAGTAACTATATATCTGTGTATATGACAATAAGACCTAAGATAAGCTGTGCTTAAGCTTACTAATTAAGACATGAATTACTAGCTCAGAAGCCAATGAATTTTCATTGGTAGAGTCATTTTCTTATGTACACAAAGCTTTATTATACCTCATTAAATACCCTATCATTTTGAATGCCACTGTCCTTGACGCCTGTCACCATCTATGCACTTTCTGTGTGACCGATAGCACAAAATTTTAACCCAACGCTTT